CTTATCCCATTGTGGATGCAAATGGAGCTTGGGATCTTTAAAATAACTGTGCAAGTCTCAGGGAGGAGATGAGCCAGTCAGGGTGCGATGTAACAATGATGAGAAATACAACTTTCCTCTAGTTCCTAAATGTTTCCTCCCCGCTCCCACTACCATGACTCGAATTCGATCTTGCAAGTCTGGCTAGACCAGAGGATGTACACTGGTACCGAGAGGAACTGAAAATACAGGGAATCCAGGACGGATGAGCCCTACAGGACCAGTGGTGCGAGTGGCAAAACAGGGCGGGTAAAGGGAGAATGGGTAGGAAAGAGGGAACCGATTACATGGAACTGTGTGTGACCTCCTCCCTGGGGGACAGACAACCGAAAAGTGGGTGAAGGGAGAGTCAGACAGGGCAAGATATGACAAAATACCCATTTATAAACTATCAAGGGCTGATGAGGGAGTGGGGAGTGGGGAGGGAGGGGTAAAATGAGGACCTAATGTCGGGGGTTTAAATGGAGAGAAAATGTTTTGAGAAACGATGTACAAATGCGCTTTACACAATTGATGTGTGTATGGATTGCGATAACAGCTGTATGAGCCCCTAATAAAATGTTTAAAAGAAACAACAAAAAAAACTGTGCAAATATAAAGTGATAACATTGATAGTAATGCCCACATTTTAATTATTACTTTTAGCTTTCTGAGACCAAAATGTTATTTGTGATGTTCTTCTCTATTGCCTTCTCTTGAGAATTACTGCCTCTTTCTTATTCTTTCTCCACATGATTTAGTATTATGTTATTTAAGCACTTTCCCATGTCCTTTACGTTTAAATGTTTAGCCAAGGTTCTTAGCCTCCTCTCACGTGCTGTGGCTGCTAAAACCTTTTCTGTTCTCTGTTACCTTCTGTGCAGACAGATTCTGTTCTCTTGATTCTTCTGTTTCACCTTCAACTTGCCCCAGGAATCAAACTTCGACGGTCCCCACATATTTTTTTTTTCTTGCATCAGGGCCTCAGGTCATTGGGAAAGTACAGGTTTGGCATTGTTGGTTGGAGTTTTTATGACAATCTTTGACCCAGAGCTCTCATGGAGAAAAATGTTTTGGACCCCCAAGTAAAGCAAGGTCTTTGTTTCTTCTTTGCTCACTTTTCGTGCCAACCCCCTCTCCCAATAATTGCTTATCTAGTGATAATCTTCAACAATGTATACATCCTTGGTGTCAGTTCAGCTCTTCCCAGGGAACATCAGATAAATAGAAAGCTATGAGGCCAAAATTTCACACCTTTCGCCTGAACCTATTGCAGATGTTGACAAGAATGGTTAGGAATGAGACATAGTGCTTTTGCTATGGAGGTGCTCACAATGTAGCCAGAGGTGCTCACAGTCTTGCTATGGAGGTGCTCACAATTTGCCGGGGAGATGTATGTAAACCAAAAACCAAACCCACTGCCAATGAGTTGATTTTGACTCATTGCAACCTTATGGGGCAGAGAAAAACTGTTCTTAGGGTTTCAAGACTGTACATCTTTATAGGAACCTGTGCCATCTTTCTCCTGCAAAGCTGCTGGTGGGGTTGAATCACCAACTCTGTGGTTATCAACCACATTGCCACTAGAATGACTTCGATACAATACTTGTTTCCTAATTTACTTAAAGACAAAGTCAGTAATCATTATGAAATCTCTGCTTTGTACCAGAAAATGTGCTTTGGAGAGCTTGATAAATGGATTTTGGGGTAATATTGTTTTGTTAGTACAATGTAAATATGATAATATAATTTACTATTCAAAAATTGGAATGTAGATTTACCTTAATTATAACCAGAGACAACTTTGGGCTCAGCACCCAGTTAGCTTAACTGAAGGACATTGGAGGTAAGATCTTAACTCTATATTTTAAATAAAAATGAAATTATACTCTTAGTCCCATAAAGTGGTCATAATAAATTACATATAATTATAGTTGAATCTGAGATAACGTTGAAATATTTGTTCAGCATATAAAATATCAATTTACTTTATCATAAATTTGTATTTCATTAAACTAATCAGATGTTTACTATAACAAAGATTAAATTCTTAATTTCAAAAAGTGTACTTGCCTTTTTAAAAAATTTTGAGTGTTTTTTTTTAAAATTTTTTATCTTTGTGAAGTTTTAAAGATCTCTTTTATCTTTGACCCAAGGAACTGTGGTGGCACAGCGGTTAAAGCACCCAGCGGCTCCAGCCCACCAGCCGCTCTGTGGGAGAAACTCCTGTAGTCTGCTTCCATAAAGATGCCCTGTCTTGGAAACCTTATGAGGTTCTACTCTGTCTTATAAGACTGCTTTGAATTGGAAACAACTCAATGGCAGTGGGCTTGGCTTTAGATTATCTTTGAAGGGCTGCCCAAGGAAGTCTTTTGTTTTTCCCCATGCATTTCAGCAAGAGATGTTCACAATGTGCCTATTTGCATCCACTTAGCTGTTCATCAAGTCAGCGAATATTCATTGAGCAGCTACTATGTGTTGGGCCCTCCGCTTGGGGACTACAGCAGCAGGTGGGATATAGCTCCTGGTTTTGGTGTCTTTCTGTCTGTCTGACTTTCTGCCTTTGTTTCCCTACCTCCCTTTCTCTCTCTTTTCCTCTTTCCCTTGCTCTTGCTCTGAAGCAGACTTCGGTGGGACCCGGCCTTTGGTGGTTGTCTTCAACAGGGATCTGACTGTCTAGTCTAGTCAGACATTACAAAACATCTCACTCAAAGAAACAAATATGTAGCCCCCAGTAAAGTGATTTTTAAAAAAAGAAGAAAACTAATATGCATCTATGACCCACTTCTTAAAGACAAAACAAACAAAAAGCCTCTAGGAAATGAAATTTCATCCATCAGTGTAAGACATGAAACAAAAAAAGATAAATTATCAAGGGTTCATGAGAGAAGGAGGGAAAAAATGAGCCACTACCAAGGGCTCAGGTAGAAAGCAAATGTTTCGAGAACGATGATGGCAGGAAATGTACAAATGTGGATGGATGGATGGACTGTGATAAGAGCTGTACAAGCCCCAATAAAATGGTTAAAAAAAAAAAGAAATTTCAAGTTGTCAGTAGAGAAAGAGGATTGTCAAACATAATTCTCCAGCAAACAGCAGTCATTCTTATGAAATGTTTCTATTTTAGATTTTTAAAAAAAGGGTTCTCCTGCTATCACTTTTCTGTTTTCTGAAAGGAGCACAGCTTATCACCACAAAGTGGATGTTGTGTCTAAGCTGAGGGCAGAGAGCATTCAGAGGATGGGGGCGGTGATGTGGAACCCGGAAAGTGAGTGCAAGGTACAGAGGGCGGGGGAGTTAGCAAGAGTACGGTATTTGGTTCAAGTAATAAGCAAAAATCTTAGGAGCAATTTTAAGGAGTGTGAACATTTCCTGATAGGGAATGGCAGGATTCTATTTGTCTTCCCGGAGTCCTATTTATTTCCTGGGGAGTTTTTTTAGGAGGACCATAGTACGGCAAGTAGCCGAGACACTTTGAGGAGTCCTGGGCATGGTACCCTGGCCTACGGTGGGGCGAGAAAGAAGTGCGTGGATCCCAGCAGCAGCAGAGGTGGTGGTTGATTGTGGGACTGGTTCTGCCTGGGTCCTGCGTTTCTCTGGGCATCTGGAGTGGTGCACCCTGTACTGCAAAGGAACCGGGGGAAAGGGAGCACAGAGCAGGTTCCACTCAAGCCTTCTGATTGCAAAGTTCTTATCAATCTTCTAGAAGTCATCACTGTAGCATCTAGCAATCAGATTCCCTCATGGAGGGCTGTGCGCATGTAGAGGCATTTATTATAGATGATGTTAAAAATTCACTTCCTTTGCTTTTTTTCTTGCTTTCCTAAGGACAGCAAAAATCACCTTTCAACAAAGTAAAAGAAATCATGAAAGGACAGCCTGGAGTGTGAACGTGTGTGTGTGTGTGTGTGTGTGTGTGTGTGTGTGTGTGTGTGTATGGTGTGTATGTGAGTGTGTGTGTGTGTATGAACATGTTTATGTGTGGTGTGTGTCTTTGTGGGGTGTGTGTGTGTGTGTGTGTGTGCGTGTATGTGATAGAGAAAGTGATGTGGCCACGGGTCGTGTTGCTGACTCATTGTGTTGGTTCATATGTAGCCTCGCTCATTCAAGTAATGGAAAGGCTATTGAATAAAGAAAAAGGTAGTCAAAGTTGGATAGCTTCCTGATTGAGAGTTCTCGTGTTGGATTGCTGATGTTCAGATTCTAGATTTGCCGTTTAACTCCTCCTGTGAGATCTTGAGCAAGTGACTGCATGAACTCCTAACGTGTCTCAGTTTCCTCAACTGCAAAATAGCTATTTTAATAGCTATTAATGCAAAAGAGCTATTATATATAGCTATTATAAGAGCTATATAACTGCAAAAGAGCTATTTTAATAGCTATTAATGGAAACAGCTCTGGCCTCATTTTGAAGTCTTACTAAAGTTGTTGTCTGTAACCTACTTAAAGTGAGTTACTATGTGTATACTGCTTGGGACTGTGCACTGTTTCTTTAGGCAGCACGAAAATGAAAAAGCTGCAGATAATGGATAGGGTGGTCTTAAGTGGTAGGATTAATGAAATTAAACTGAAATGACCTTTCTGCCCCATCTACACAATTTTAGCATCTGTAGATAGCACTTGTAATATTGGGTCCTTGTAATTTGTTACTCTTAATAAAAGCATGCCCCGGAGTAGTCATCATAATGGTGATAATGGCTTATATTTAACCTTCATATCAGGTGAGGAGACTAGCTTTTAGAGCTCGTGAGTAGTGGAACTGGGATGTAAGCCCGGCAGTCTGACTCCAGAGCCTGTACTTTTATCTACGCCCCCCAACAATATTTAGATAGCCCCCATCCACTCAACAGACCCCTCACAAGAGAGTGTAAAGAGGCTTTATTTCATGAAAGGTGATTGGATTTTGGCTTGAGTATCAGGGCCTGAAACTTGTGGCTTGGGCAGTACAGGCTGTCGCTCACCTGTTTTCCCTTCTTTTCTAGGTATCAGTTTTTCTTGCAGGTGAAGCAGGATGTCCTTCAGGGCCGGTTGCCCTGCCCCATCAACATCGCTGCTCAGCTGGGAGCATATGCCATCCAGTGTAGGTTTCAGTTAAGTGTGGTTGCTTCAGAAATGTCCTGAGAACAATTGAATTTTGTTGTTATTGTAAAAATATAGATCACACATTTGTCAGTTGCATCAGTAATATATAACCATCACCAGTAACTGGTGCCAAATTTTATGACACTACAAACAAATTTAGTGCTTCCTAAAGTATTCTCCTTTCTCCCTTCCTCTCCTATCTTTGGTATATATAAAACAGGCCCAACTTTAATTTAATTTGTTGTTCAGTCCGTTCCAGCTCATAGTGATCTGGCAGGACTGGGAGAACTGCCCTGCATGGTTCCAAGGCTGTGCTTGGAATCGTAGAAGCAGCTCATGTCTTTTTCCTTTCAAGAAGCAGATGAGCTTGCACTGCTGCCTTGGGGGTTAGCAGTTGAGCGTTTTTTAACCATGGTGCCATGGGAGCTTTTTCCTGCTCTTGGTAATTGTTATTAAACAATAACTCTGTGCCTTTACCTATCCAGACAGAATGCTCCTTAGCAATGAGTGTGGAGAGACTCTGTCTTGTATAACTGGAACCTTTACAGGTGCTTCCAGACACTGGGAAGGAGCTCATGCTGGGTAAAGTAGAGGGTTAGCAAAGAAGAGAAACCCCTTCAGGGACACGGATTAACCCAGTTACTGCCAGCAGCGGAGTCAACCCATAACAACAGTGGCCATGACACAGGGCCAGGCGGGTTTGATCTGCTGTACGTAGGGTTCTGGGAATTGGAACTGACTCGGCAGCAATAAGGCAGGTGACGTTGGTGAGGCCAGATGCTACTTGCCCTGGGTGATTGGCCAACTCTGCTCGGCATGCTTCCAAGGGTCCTCCATGCTGCAGCAAACAGCAGTGCACTCCTCATACCAGTCACAAGATGGAAACAGCCCAAGGACACATCAGCAGACACATGGGCAAACAAAATGTGGTTGTCATTTGAGCCCCTTTGGTTTTCAGGTTTCCCCCCCCCCCAATATTGAGGTTTATCTCTGATGAATTTTGACATTCTGGGTAGCCCTCTTGAATTTTTGTTGTATGTTTTTTGGTATTTAAAATCCAGGATCGATGAACCTATAGAGCAGCGGTTCTCAGCCTGCAGGTTGTGACCCCTTTGGGGGGGTCAAACAACCCTTTCACAGGGGTCGCCCAATTCATAACAGTAGCAAAATTAGTTATAAAGTAGCAACGAAAATAAATTTATGGTTGGGGGGTCACCACAAATTGAGGAACTGTATTAAAGGGCCATGGCATTTGGAAGGTTGAGAACCACTGCTGTAGAGACAAGTAGAATAACGGTTCTTGGGGATACAGTGAGGGAGGAGGAGGGGAAATTGGTGCTGACATCAAGGAGTTCAAGAGGGAAGAGAATGTTCTGAAACTGATGGTGGTAGCAAATTGTATAGTACTGCTTGATGTGATTGAACTGTAGAATGATAGGATATATGTATTAACTCTTAATGGTTTTGGAAAGATTTTTTTTTAAGTTATATCAGTAACAAAAAAAATGTGGTTTATATGTACATGCAGTAGAATTTTACTCAACCATAAAGAGAAGTGAAGGTCTGAGACTTGCCGCAGCATACATTTTTTATTTTAAGCAAGAGTATATGCTAATAATCTTATCACATGATCCATGCCTTCCACCAATCGCATTTAGGCATAATTTTAAGGGTTTTTCCCCCCATAATTTAAGTTTTAATCAGTATCATTTCAGATGAGATAAAAGTGGAACCAGTAACCTATCTATTCTAGAGAGTTTTATGGATTTAAAAAATCTCAGCAGTAGCATCAGTTCCTTCTTAACATGCGGGCAGGGTCTGAATGTCCACGCTGCATCCTGCCTCCATTCATGGACCCCTGATCAGTCATGTCTCAGAGAGCCCGTGCGGGTTTGAACTGCAAGGAGTGTGGTATTTCTAAGATGGTGATTTGGGCCAGATACATTTTGAATCATATGCAGTATCTGTTCATGTTATTATCTAAGAGTATATATTAAGGTTATCATGGTTTTCCACCTGTAGCATTTCTAGTATATGTTCAAATATTCCAAATTCCATTTGCTATGTTTTAGTTTTTATAACCGATATGAATAATTAAGATTAAAATGATGTTAATTATATTCTGTGGGAAAGCAAAATATAAAGTTTAAGTTTTTAAGGCAAGATTTTGTTTATACTATCAAAGGTATCTTACCAAATATGGGGTTATCATATATGAGTTTATTAATATTTAGGCATTTGAAAAAAAGATGTTTAACCATGTAAGGAATATGCCCTCTTCCTAAAATGGAGAAAACGATTGCTTTTTTCTTTGCAGCTGAGCTTGGAGACTATGACCCCTATAAACATACTACGGGCTACGTGTCAGAGTACCGTTTTGTTCCTGATCAGAAGGAAGAACTTGAAGAAGCCATCGAAAGGATTCATAAAACTCTGATGTAAGAATCACATTTTATGGTACTTTATCCAACAACCATTTTCTTATGTTATTGGCAGACATTAAGAAAAATGTCTACAATAATAAACTCTTCACCTCTGCCTGGAACCTTCAAGTACTCAATTTCTTTTCATAGTTTCTTTAGTGTTCTATAGCACTAATAATGTTCATGGAAAGCTCAGACAATCTTTCAAAGTATAAAGAAGAAATCAAAATATAGTACCTAAAGACAGATGGCATGATATTTTTGTTTAATGAACTTTCAGATCTCTCTCTTTCTGCATAATTTTCCCTAGAGAAGATTTTTGTTGATTTGTGTTTGTCTGACATTAATGGGATTTTTCCTTATTTCATTTATTATTACTGGTTTTCTTTGGCATACTTTCCTTTTTGTCACCAGGATCTTGTGAAACATTTTTTTAAAACTACAAATGTGTTTTAACTGCAAAAATTTAACTACAAAAACTTTAATGTATTCTGGATTTATGCTGTCTTAAGTATGCTAATTCTTTAGTTATAAGCAAAACCCTATTCAGTGTATAGTAACAAATCTGGAAATCATGATGACATCCATGTGGAACTTCTAAGGATATTATGTTAATGCCACATATACCTGTGAGAATATGCATGCCCCCTAGTAGGATTTCCAGTGAATGGCCTGCATCACTGAAGTTATAATTAAATTATAGTTATTTTGGTTAAATCCTTTATAGTGATTAACTTCCTTTGTTGCCTCTTTTGTAAGATTCCCTCTTGAATTGGCGTGGTTTCAGATCCATTATAGTTAGAGGAAAAGAATGTTTGCCGAGTGGCTCTGTTTCGGCGAGCAGGAGCAGGAGCAGAAGTCAGGTGGTTGCTGGATTGCGGTCAGACAAAGCAGGCTCTCCATCCGATAGCAGCTCTTGCGAGAATGCTCTCCGGCCTGATTATGACTCCTTCGCTTTAAGATTTTGCTCCAGTGGATTCTAAGAGAGTGCTTGGTATAACATTATAAACGGTACTGTGTGGCACGGCCTGAGGATACTGATTCTGCTAGGAGTTTCATGGTACAATTTCACTGTGAAATTTTCAAGGAACTGTGGCTGAGGGACTTACTATATATTTATATGCTACATGTGCTGATGTTGACAGTGTGTCTGTTATTTTGCAGAGAATATAGCCTGATCACGATGTGGTAGCTTTCTTGTGCCTAATTTGTGATAAGCCTTCTTTATGGTTATCAAAAACATTGTATATTGCTGGGCACCATTGATTGAAATAGGAATTTGTCAACATGGAAATACACCAAAGCAAGAGTTATTAATTTTCAAAGATTCATAGCTCCTTTTGTTACCCATGAAAACCTCACTGGCGCCCTCTCCCTTTCTCTGTGACCCTGAGCCTCTGTGACCCTGACTCTGTTCACTGAGCCGCGGAGACCCCCACAGTGCTTTCACGAGCAAGCTGTGCCCTTTCCTGCATAACCTGACCGGTGAAGGGTTTGGGAAGGTTTCTGTGCTTGGTATGAAGAAAATGACATATTTTCATAGTTTTCAAACATTAATTAAAGCATTTTGAACTGCACTTGTGTCCCGGAGGTGTTTCTGGGCCCCTTTTTGGGTGGGGTGGGGGGTCGTTTCGTCCCTGCCCCCATGGCTCTAGTTCCTTCCTGCTCACGGAGCTGCTGCTGCAGAGATTGTTGACGCCTCCTAAAGACACGCTTTCTCATTGGAGTACTGAAATCCCAGTTACTTCTTTCGTGGTTTCTGAAACAGGGATTTTTATTTATGTTGGGACAGCGGTTCTCAACCTGTGGGTTGTGACCCTTTTGTGAGTCAAACGACCCTTTCACAGGGGTCACCTAAGACTTTCGGAAAACACATATTTCCGATGGTCTTAGGAACAAGACGCCGCCCCTCTATCCGTCTCCAGGCGGGCCTGCCCACATGCAGATATGCCCACATACGAGTGCCCGCGTGAAGACTGTTACCCACGCTACACCATGCTTCAAAACAACATTTCATTTATTTGTCATTAGAAATAAATATTTCACAAGATATATTTACATAGTTTTTGTGATGAATCACTCTGCTTTAGTTATGTTCAATTTTTAACAATGAAAATACATCCTGCATATCAGATAGTTACATTACAGTTCATAACAGTAGCAAAATGACAGTGAAAATAGTGTTGTGGTTGGGGGGTCACCACATCATGAGGAACAGTATGAAAGGGTCACGGCATGAGGAAGGTGGAGAACCACTGTGTTGGGACATTGGGGAGGACCTCTGGTGCTCAGTGACTAAGTGCTTGGCTGAGAGCTAAAAGGGTGGAAGTTTGAGCCCACCAGCTGCTGCTTGGAAGAAAGATGCAGCAAGAGGGGCCATACAGATGACAGCCTTGGTAAACCCTCTCGGGCAGCTCTCCCTAGAGGGTTGCTGCCAGTCAGAATTGACTTGATGGCAATGGATTCGGTGTGATTTGGGGCATTAGGGATTGCCAATAATGAGCAAAAATATATTTCAGAAATGAAATTAATATGATTATATTTAATTGTAATATAATTAAAATCCAGAACCTAAAGTTTTGTCACCAAGAAGGCAAGGACCTTCTTGATAGGCCAAAACTCCCATTTGCATTAGCCCCCAGATTATTTTTCCAGTGAGTATCATGAAGGGATGGCTTCCGTTCCGTGTGAGTGCAATCGCCATCAGTGAAGTAAGGCTTTCTCTTGTGCCGTAACTAGGGGCCAGACTCCTTCTGAAGCTGAGCTGAACTACCTGAGGACGGTCAGGTCCTTGGAGATGTATGGTGCTGACCTTCATCCCGTTTATGTGAGTAACATTTAATGAACCCAAATTATTTTCCGTTGATGGCAATTTTCTTGAAAAGTCGTGGAGACTCCTACAGGAAAGCTGCAGGCGTGTTGTTTAGTTTAAACACAAACCATTTCTTGCATGCATTAAAAACGAATGGGTTCTGCATAAAAGTCTGTGATTATATTTCCATGTGTAGAAAACAATTCATTGGGCTTGAGAAACACAATCTGGATAACAGCTCCAAAGGGCTTAGCCTAAACGTCAAAACAATGTAAAATTGGTGTGTAATTGAATGTATTAAACAGAAAACATGAGGGGTTTCCAAAAATAGATTTTTGTGGCTGAAAAACATTCATCAAATGACCTGCCAGGTAAAGTAGTCACTGGGCAGCAGTCCAAGGTACAGTTCCTGGTGGTGCTTTGTTGGGTGTGCAGGTTCTGTTCATTTGAGGGTTACTACCTACCAAAGGGGGCTGCTTGGAAAGAAATGCTTTGCCCATTTTCTTCAGTGACCGATGAAAACTTGCCAGATATAGTCAGTGAGCAATTACAGTGAATCTGTCTGAGTACTCTGGATCCAAGCCTTGGCCTTTGAGCCAGTGTCTAAAGCTGTCAGTTGATTATTCTGTGCCAGTGAGATCGAAATGCCATTGCCTTTGCTTTTATACCCGTTTAGTTAGCAGTCGTCACATTTGATTATTTCACAGGAAATGAATTGCTAACGATTACCCAGAGACTGAATTTGTCCATTGGATCACAGAGCTTGCTTTCTAAGGCACCTTGATAAAACTTCCTGTAATGCAAATAACACACTCATACATTCATTCCGTAATATATCTTTTGCTTATCTGGGCTTTCTAAAATAAGTTATCACTTCATATTACTTTAAAGTTTTGGAAGTATTCCTTGGGTTACAGGTTTGGGGCAAGTAGTACTCCCCTGATACACTGGATCTCAATCTCATTAGGTTACTATTATTTGTTAAGGACACCTATAAACTTTTCCCTCGAAGCCTCATTAGCCTTTTAGGTTTTTCAGTTGTTTGCTTTCTTTAATATTTCTATAAGGACTTTTTAAATAGATTCTCTTGCAGAACGCTTCTGCATTTGTATAATGCTCACCCTCATTCAAACACTTTTTGAGGGGGAAGTGGGGTGGGTGATGAGAATTTATAGCAAATGAGCTGGATTCATTAGAATCATTCACACATTCCTCTGGGATTTGATTTTTACAGCTGATATGGACAGCAGTTGGTATTCTTTCAAAACATAGTAGTCTTAGGAATCCAAGTTTCAGTCTTCGTCATTTGGTTCTAGAGAAGGAGCATCATGAACACAAGTAGGAAGTTCTGTACAACTCTACTTGTGGCTTTTGTTTTCTCCTTTCGGCATCCCATTTAATTTGTGGGGATTTATCATTGCCATGGGAATTAAGGTTCTCCAACCCTGATGACACGGTGGCTCATGCATTGGCCTTCTAACCACCAGGCCAGCAGTTTGAAGCCATTAAGGACTTTTTGGGAGAAAGATGAGGCTCTTTGCTTTCATAAAGAGGTTCAGTGATGGAAACCCACAGGGGCCTGTCCACTCTGCCCCATAGGGTTGCTATGAGTTGGAACGGACTCAGTAGCACTGAGGTTTGTTTGTTGTTTTAACTTGCTTGTTTTGCGCTTGGAGTCTTTACCAGACGAGATTACCTTTAAAAAGTTTTAGACCTCGTGCTTTGCACAGTTGATCTATGTATTGTGATGAATTGTATGAGCCCCAATAAATTGATTTAAAAAAAAAGTTTTAGACCTCTTAAAAATCTCAGTGAGAAGGAAGGACCATAGTAGATTCCTAAGAAAATCCTACGGTGAGACTGCCTGTGGCCATGTGAATTTTCTGGAGAGGGTGGCAGCACCAGACCAGGCCTCACAATTGTCCACATCAGAGGGTGGGGCCCAGCGGGACCATTTGAAAGGAGATTGTCAATAAAAGACCGTGGTTTCCAATCCTTGCCTGCTCCAGAAACTTGCCTGGAGCTTTTTTGGTGCACTTGATACCTAGACCTCATCACCAGAGATTCGTGTAATTGGTTTCCTTGACACCCAGACATCAGCATTTAAGGCTGCACAGGTGAGTCCAATTAATGTGCAACCAGGGTTGAACACCACTGGTAGAAACAACCTGGGTGAGTTGTTTAGTGTCGATATTGGTAGCCCAGATTCCTTTTAATTAGCTACAGTGAAAAGTCTGAATTACTGTGAAGACAGAAAAGCTTTCTCACAAAATTTGGGGGGGAAAAAGAAGGACCTGCAACATAGATACTCCTATAACTTAACTAGTAGCCCCTCCAAGCCAATATCACTCACATATTAGATCCAACATCAATATAGCAAATTTTGTTGGTATAGCCCATTATAGTTCAAAGAATCTCTTTTACATGAATAACCTTGTGGTCATAGGCATATGTTTGTTTTTGCAGGGAGAAAACAAGTCTGAGTATTTCTTAGGATTAACTCCGCTTGGTGTTGTTGTCTACAAGAATAAAAAACAAGTCGGGAAGTATTTCTGGTAGGTACTTGTGAGTCAGTAAAAAGGCTGGGGGAAGAACATCAGGTACAGTGGTTGACACAGAAATGAGTAAAAGTGGGTATACATTTTCTCCCAATACAACTTAGTACATCTTTTCCCTATACTTTCAGATACTGGGCTTCTGGACTCTTTTGTTCATGGACACACCTGTAGCAAGATTTCCCACCCATTTTAAGGCCTGCCTGGACACACCTGTGTTCTAGAGTGCTGTGGCCCGAGGGTGACTGAATTCTAACTCTAGATCAGTGCTTCCCAAAGTGGGTGATACAACTCCCTGGTGGGCACTGGCATGATTCAGCAGGGGCTACCAAAGCAGATATTTATACTTTATCCTCCATGATGGGTTAAGTACGAAAGTTTTTAAAATGCTGGGGGATGTTGAGTAATTGTTAATTGTCTTCCTGAAAAGGGGTTGTAGATAAAATATTTGGGAACCTGTGGTCTAGATGGAGAGAGGCCTGGGAGAGATTGGGAGTCCTATGACTTTGTGTGGGAAGGTGCCAAGAGCTGGAGATGTTCTGATTGGAAGTCTGAAGGTTCCAGTTCCTGAGAGGCTTCTTGGGAGAAAAGCCTGGGATAGACTTCTACAAAACCAGCCTGGGAAACCCCCTGGCACAGCAGTTCTATTCTGACACAGGTAGGGTCTCCGTGAATTGGAATCACCTGGTGTGGTTTGGTTTTTGGGGGCTGTGTATTTATTGGAGGAGAATGAAAACAGACTTTTATGTAGGAAGCTGCCCGGAGCCAAGGAGGAATCTCTGCAGTCACCAAAGATATATGAAAACCAAACCACACTCACTGTCATCAAATCTATTCTGACTCATAGCGACCCTGCAGGACAGAGTAGAACTGTTCCTGTGGGTTTCTGAAACTACGTCTTTAGAGCAGTAGACAGGCTCTTCTTTCTCCCATGGAGAAAGCAAACCCACTCTGTCCTAGTGGGCTTGAACCACCAACCTTGTCATTAGCCACACAACATTTTACTCACTCCACCAGGGTTCTTTAAACAGTATGTATATAAAGAAGCCATTCTTAACCAATATTTTCCCACTGGGAATTTCCAAAAGATTAATTCTTAACAATACTAATAAACATTTGTTGTTGTTTTTTTCAGGCCTCGGATTACAAAGGTTCACTTCAAGGAGACTCAATTTGAACTCAGAGTCCTGGGGAAAGATGTAAGTTTTTGTTTAGCACTTAGCTGAAACAAGAGCAGAAGT